AGTAACTAAGCCTACCATCAGTAACACACTATGCCGCCAGGGACTCAAATCCTGCAGTGCCAGACGTGTCCCCCTGCTTAAGCCAGTACATGTCCAGGCCCGTCTGAAGTTTGCTAGAGTGCATTTGGATGATCCAGAAGAGGATTGGGAGAATGTCATATGGTCAGATGAAACCAAAATAGAACTTTTTGGTAAAAACTCAACTCGTCGTGTTTGGAGGACAAAGAATGCTTAGTTGCATCCAAAGAACACCATACCTACTGTGAAGCATGGGGGTGGAAACATCATGCTTTGGGGCTGTTTTTCTGCAAAGGGACCAGGACGACTGATCCGTGTAAAGGAAAGAATGAATGGGGCCATGTATCGTGAGATTTTGAGTGAAAACCTCCTTCCATCAGCAAGGGCATTGAAGATGAAACGTGTCTGGGTCTTTCAGCATGACAATGATCCCAAACACACCGCCCGGGCAACGAAGGAGTGGCTTCGTAAGAAGCATTTCAAGGTCCTGGAGTGGCCTAGCCAGTCTCCAGATCTCAACCCCATAGAAAATCTTTGGAGGGAGTTGAAAGTCCGTGTTGCCCAGCGACAGCCCCAAAACATCACTGCTCAAGAGGAGATCTGCATGGAGGAATGGGCCAAAATAACAGCAACAGTGTGTGAAAACCTTGTGAAGACTTACAGAAAACGTTTGACCTGTGTCATTGCCAACAAAGGGTATACAACAAAGTATTGAGAAACTTTTGTTATTGACCAAATACTTATTTTCCACCATAATTTGCAAATAAATTCATAAAAAATCCTACAATGTGATTTTCTGGAGAAAAAAAATCCCATTTTGTCTGTCATAGTTGACGTGTACCTATGATGAAAATTACAGGCCTCTCTCATCTTTTTAAGTGGGAGAACTTGCACAATTGGTGGCTGACTAAATACTATTTTTCCCCACTGTAAATCTACTCTAATAATCCTCACTAATCATGGAACTGTGATGACAACGGTCCAGTTATCGTGAACCGTGTGCCATGCTCCAGGGCCAGGTTGCATAAAACACCTTAATCTTCCCCTTATCTTTTCCCTTAAAGTTTCCTTAATTTTAAGTCAGTTGCATAAAACATTTTAAGGTGAATTTCCCTCTTAAATTAAGTGAAAAAGTTAAGGGTGCCCATGAGGTCCCTTAACTGCTTAATTCAGTATGGATATCAGTGTAAACATCATTTGTGGAGGTGAATGTTGCGTTCATCTGCTCTGGTTACAAAAGGAAACATCAACCAGCTAGCTACTTAACTAAGCAATGGAAGGTGCACAATCCATGGCTACAAAGCTAGCTGGCTAGTTAGCTATAGCTACTAAACTAGCTTGATGTAATAAACAAGTTGAGAAAAAAGTAAAAAGAAACATGGTTTATTATCTTCTGAAGCAATTTCGTTATCCTGTCTTGGTTGTAGAAGTTCTTTTTTGCTATCTCACAAAATGAAAGTGATCTCTTTGACAAGACATTTAGTCAGTAAATCAGGCCATCTCCATGGTACCAAAATACTCTTTCTTCCATACATGTTTTCAAACTACCATAAAACCCTTTAAGTATGCCCTTACCTAAGGAAATATTTGAGGGGCTCTATGCAACACCCTTAAACAATTCTGTTAGGTAAGAGACAATTATTCCTTAAGGTAAACCCTGAAGGGAAACACTAAAGATGTTTTATGCAACCGGGTCCAAGTTTAAACTGTGGAATATGGTCTGTGTTCCATAATGATTCAAATAGGTTACATGTTCCAAATTATTGCACAACTTGTAAAATGTTAGCCTAAAATGATCCACTATTGCTAGCGATCCTCAGGAACAACCACAAGAACGTGACAGAGGAAATAAAGGTAAACTAACAATGGAATGGACTGATGCAAAATGTAAGGAAACGAACACTAAAGTGACAGTTATAAATGTATGTTAGTATAACTGACGGTGGCTACCGATAGTGGCTAGTATTTAACACCATCCAAATTGTAAAAAATACAGTGAAAAGTTCGGGCATATAATTAAAACATTCTAGAAATCATAAATCAACTCAGTAGGTTTGGCACTATACTGTCATTAGTACATGGCTACAGAAGCGTATAGCTTGGTTCTCCACATTTCATATCTGCAAGGCCAGCATTTCATAAACGTCACTGTGGAAAAGGTGATATGTTGATATGCTTCAGTTTTATGTCATGTGACTGGTTTCACATTTGTCTCCAGGGATCATAAGGTAAAATAGATATAAAACACAATCCCCTTATCCAAACGACTTACTCATTTACCTAGCTGTTACATAGCCGAGTGAAGTAGGGGAGCTAAGGGTGATACATCGAAATAGAAAATAATAATAATAATACAAGTATATATATATATATATATATACTGTATATAATTAGTAAACTAGGCTGTTATTGCTCCTGTATCGGCGGACAAATATCAGAATATGCGTAGAGAGATTGGTGCATAGGGAATTATATTCCATTTACGCACGCTTAACTCGGGTCGGAATTCCCCCTTATTGAAAATGTTTTTCCTTGCATGATTCTATTAAATGCATCTCTGTCGACTGTCGAGTATTTGTAATGTACACAGCAATTTAGGAAATTACCACAAAAACTGACAGCAGCAGGCAGGAACACTGTATCATATTGGCTGATGCCATATCACACTGGACATGTTGTAAAACATATGTCTATTGTAATAAAAGGGATAACTTCATTAACTGATTATTTCCAATTTCATTCATTTCATAGCCGGTCATCTGTGGATCCGATTTAAGATAATGAAATTGAGGTTTTAGTCCCCCACTGCCCGCCAAGAAACAACTCCACCGATGTGCACGCACGCATGTAGATCAACGGAGTGGAGCGTGGAGCGGCCTTAAAAGCTTACTGCAGCTCGTCAGGGGTTAATGAGTAAACGACAGGTCTGGAGTCAGCAAAGGAGACAGAGAGACCCATAGGGCAAACAGAGAGAGAATGAGAGAGGAGAGGGATAACCCATCGGTGGTTCAACTATGCAATTTTGGAACAAGATCAGTGAGAGAGAGTACCATTCAGTGTCTGTGTAGCTTCTCATAGAGTACATTCTTTTTGCCTCTTAGACAGACTTGGCTCTCATTTCCCTTATGAGTGTTTTTAAATTTCCACTGTGAGACTACAATCCCTTTGATGAGGAAAAAACCACGGACTTTTTCCCTTGTCCTCATCCACCCATCATTTTTCAGATCTTTACAGCTGTACGTACTTTAAGGACTTAAGGAGAGAGACATGGATTGTTATTGCACAAATTGTATTTATTGCATTCAACAACATACAAAAGTTCTCAATGATCAGAGATCATCTCTAAAGAAACTAATCTCAGTGCTAGAATATCTGGTGGCTCCAACCAAACAGAACAAAACATTGAGGAAGAACACATTTCAAACACAGCTGCTTCATGTCCGAACTAAATCAGGGTTCTATTTGGTGCTCTGATCTAACAGAGGCAGGATTTATGACTGGTTGGATGGTAGTGGGGACTCCTTGGTGGTCTTCCTATCTCAGTAGGTACTTAAAGGCCTACACTGGACATACGACAGGTAACTACACCTGGGATACTTAGCAGCACAGCAACCAGTGTGTACAACACTCAACAGTCTGTAGCCCACTCTTAAACATATGAGCCTCATTTGAAATGTTAAAAATGTTTATGAGTGGCTGAAAGCAAAGAGCAGAACTAGTAGTTCTATCACACAAAGAGTATATTCTGCAGTCCTTTCATTTGGCAAAACAAATTTGAGTCATTTGATCTGATCTGAAATCTAAATTATATTTAATAGAAGTTACCATTGTGGTAATGAAAAAAAAACAGTCTTCAAATAAATAACATGTTTTGAGAATATACTATTTTGAGGAGCAAACCAATGCTTATTGTAATCACAAGCACTTGACAAAGGAAATATGTAAAATCTCAGAAATAATAAATAAAGATACTAAATCAAGGGGGTTAGGTGCTAAACATGATCTAAGCTGGGTTAAATAACCTAATAGTGACTTAGAAAGTGACATTATTCAATATAACCTTATTCTCCTTTCATCAGATCTAGGTGGAGTGTGCTGATCTGAAGTGTCAGTCTTCTTTAGTATTACTTTACTAAGTGACAAAAATATACATCATCTTTCAGTTACAATATATGGTATTCTCACAAATATCATAGGAAAAATGTTATCTAGTTCTTATAAATATCAAAAACATCACAAATCTAGTCTCTGTCTGACATACATTTTTTGTAAAACTATGTCAAATATTTAGTAAACATTTAGAAACAGTAAAAAGTATGATCTTGTAGACTTAATAATTGTTATACAGTAATACTGAAAAACAAATAAATGTACAGAAAGAATTTTACAAACATTGATCGTACCTTAACGTAGTGAACTATTACAACAGACCTGTATGCATTTTATCAAAGGTTTTGACACTCATAGAAACATGTAGTCAATAGTTATAACACTTAAATCATAGATTTCATGTTAGCCTATTATTTACTTAGTTTGTAATAATACTTGTTCAAAAGTAGTGAGGCAAAAAACAAAATCATAAATCCTCTTTGGAGGAACTCGGTCAGTCACTTTACAAAATATAGTCACAATAATCGGCATCTCTTATTAATATTTTCCCTATTATAAGTCTATGCTGACACGTTAACGGTGTCCATTTGTCCTATTGCTACATTCCTAGTACCTTACTGACTGTTCTATGCTCCACTGTACCCCAGCACTGCTTCACATTTGCAAATGTACATACTGAATCACCACACAACAAGGTAACATCAGTTAGGGCGTACATTCAAAACAAACACGGGTGTTCCAAACGTAAGGTTAAGAAACAAGAGGACTAGTCTATTGTATAATGGTGACAGTTGAACATTATGTTGCTATGTATTAAAACACTGCACTTCGGATTAAAAAGGTTTGTTCCACTGAAAAAGACTACAGTGAGTGTTTGTGTATTGTGTGTTTGTGTATTGTGTGTGTGTGTAATGTCATCCAAGCATATTCTGTTTGTGGTACATCACATTAACTTTTAGCACAATGTAGCTGAGACTTTTTTTTGGCTTTAGGAGAGCGGATCTCTTGGAGACAGAGGACTCCTGGACGTGGCAGCTTACAGGAAGGCGAATCAGGGTTGACCTTTGACCCCAGCGTCAGCCTCACATCTGCCCAAAGAAGATGGAGCAGAGCAGGAAGATAGCATAGAGGAATATCAGACCCAGGCCCAGCCGGCGGTCCAGCTTCCAGTGGTTCAGATGGACACTCATCACCTGGAGGGAGAGAAGTTGAGAGGGGGAAGAGGGGGAGGTGGAGAGAGAAGGGGATGGGCAGATGGAGAGGGGTTCAGTGGAAATGGGAAAGAGGGGGTGCAAGAGGTAAAGAGGAATAGCTTTGCTATGACTCGATGGTTGGTGGAACCACACAACTAAACGTGCCTAGAACCGGAACAGTAGATGGACCCACACCCTTCTCCAGAAAGACTGTACTATACTTGCCCTGCCTTCCGCCATCCTGCTTATGGTCCATAACAAATGTATTGTAAAACGTACAATACCAATAAAACTATAACCGTTGTGTATGTTTGTTGTCTGTAACAAAAGACTTGTAAAAAGTGAAAAGGCAATAAAATTGTGATATGTATATAGCAAGGCCTGTTATGTGGTTGAATGATGCTCAGAACCAGATGTCTAGTGCAACAGTCACTCATGAACTCCATTGTGGCATGACACATGCATGCAGGCACGCACACACACTTACTGTGAGGAAGACGGAGGCCAGCAGCAGGACAACAGAATACACCAGGCCCTTGTTGTTAATGTAGACCTTTGAGGAAGAAGAGGGTGAGTGGGTCAGATGGTGGGCTTATATTTGTTTTATTTCATGTGGCTATTATGTATTAATAGGCATGTGTGAATTGTAAAACCTTTTTTTTGTTGCATATCTCAACTCTCCCTGAGACACCCTTGGAGAGTGGGGTCACGGCCAGGTCTGTCATTATCAACGGCAACCCTGGAGCAATTTAGGGTTAAGTGCCTTGCTTAAGGACAAATCGACAGATTTTTCACCTTGTCGGCTCGGGGAGAACTAGCAACTTTTCGGTTACTGGCCCAACACTCTAACCGCTAGGCTAACTGTCACCCTAATAATATGCTGATGGTTGTTAAATGTCAATAGAGATAGTTGTAATAAATAATTGCCCACCGATGATCCGTTGTCCACTACCAGAGTGCGCAGAGCCCACGGGAAACCCAGCCCCAACAGGATGTCAAATATATTACTGCCAATGGAGTTAGACACTGCCATGTCCCCCATACCTGAGAGAGAGGGAGAGTAAAGTCAAACTAAAGCACAACAGTCTACAATACACCACCAGGACGTTGAAAAGCTGCTCAAGAGTCTGAAGAGAGAGTTGAAAAGAGAGGGTGACGGGTACCTTGCCGAGCTACAATGAGGCTGGCCATGCAGTCTGGCACGCTGGTGCCCGCTGCCAGGAAGGTGATACCCATGATGTAGTCTGGGATGTCTAGTGTGTAGCTGACGATGGTGACCTTGTGGGGACACACAGCTAGTTTAGAGACAGAGACACCACACACACTCACCTTCTTAAAGCTGCAATATGTAACTTTTTGGGCGACCCGACCAAATGCACATAGAAATGTGTGTTATAGATCTGTCATTCTCATTGAAAGCAAGTCTAAGAAGCGGTAGATCTGTTCTATGTGCGCTATTACTATGCTTCCCGTTCTTAAGATTCTTTTTTGCGTCTTTTACTTTCGTTCACCAGCTTCAAACAGCTGAAAATACAATATTTTTGGTTATGGAAAATACATTTCACAGCGGTTTAGATGGTACAATGATTCTCTACACTATACTTGCTTGTTTTGTCGCATAAACTGAAATTAGGTGAACTATTAAATTTTTAGCAACCAGGAAATGGTGGAGCGATTTTTGCATAGTGCATCTTTAAATGCCATCCTATAACTCCTGGAAGGCAACAGACATTACAAGGTTGTAGAAAGCCTGGCTTGGAAGTTCCGATATAGCCGTACGGCTCTGCTGTGGGTCCTTACCATCCACACCATGAGGTAGGAGAAGATGGCTATCCACAGGGTGGAGGCCAAGAAGGTGACCATGAACCAGCGGTGCCAGCGGGGGAACACACAGTTAGGCACAGTGCAGTACAGCAGCAGGCCCAGGGGCCACGAGATCAGCCACTTGACCCGCGCACAGCAACCACCTGCCACACACACAATAACAAGAATATACCAGAGTTGACATGCAGTGTTTTCCTCAAATGCAATTTCAGCGAATGTCTGTAAATTGCCTATAAAGGTCAAGTGCAGTGCGATGTTTGTACAGCATTTTTTTTATCCTGGCCTCAGTCAGGCACATAGCAGATGGCAACAAAAAACATCCTCACCTGGCCAGTGCAGAGGCCTGAACGGCCCATCATCATTATCCTTCTCTTCCTCAGCCTGACAGCCCTCCGCCCCTGGCTTCTCCCCTGCGTCCCCTAGCCCGGCCCCCTCAGGGGTCTGCCTCTCCACACTGCCCCCATTCTCGAGACCTCCAGAACCCTTCAGAGGGGTGCCCCCTGTCCCTGCCCCTGCGCCGGTCTCCCCGTCCAGCTGGCTGTTGGGACTCCTGATCAACCTCTGTCTCTGTGTGGGAGAAAATAATGAGTGCTCCATAGTGTCTAACGTGGCCTGTTGCTGATGTTCCTCCAGCCTGAGTCGACTACCTCACTGATGAGCATGCGTCCCGCCATTCTGAGCCTGGTGCGAGGGGAGAAGTGGGGGGTGATCATGATGCGCAGGCCGGCCTCGGAGAAGGACAACTGGTGGGGGTTGAGGATGAGGAGCTCGTCCACCATCATCACCGGAGGAGACTCCTGAACCTGGGGTTGGCCTGCAGGGTGAGAGAGTGATAGGAATAACACTTGACCTAAAGCCGGCAGGCAGATATAATGCATTATGATGCGGTTATAATGCATTATGATGTGGTTATAATGGATTATGATGCGGTTATAATGCATTATGATGCGGTTATAATGCATTATGATGCGGTTATAATGCATTATGATGCGGTTATAATGCATTATGATGCGGGTAAAATGCATTATGATGCGGGTAAAATGCATTATGATGCGGGTAAAATGCATTATGATGCGGGTATAATGCATTATGATGCGGGTATAATGCATTATGATGCGGTTATAATGAACTGTGAGACTTGTGATTAGCACAAAAAACTATAACAGTCACAGCTTCTAACACTCAGAAAGCCACAAACCCATGTGAGGACACAGACAGTGACAGACATACAGCCAGACAGACATACAGTGAGAGCTGTAACGAGCTCCAGACAGACCTTTCCTGAGCAGCACCATGTTGGTGTTGCAGGTGGGTCCGTCCTCTGCCATCTCCTCGTCTCTGTGTCCATCACTACCCAGGCAACACTGACCCGGACCCCCAAAACGACGTGTCACACAGCCCAAGAGCTGGGAGTTGAACCTGAAACCCCAAAACAGCTTTCATAAGAGAAACACAAGCACAAGCAGACACTGCTGTACATGCTCTGTGGATTGAGGACTCCTGTGAGAGGGGGCTAAGCAGAATACTCACTTCATGATAAGAATGTAGACTCCATACATGGTCATTAGGAGCACGGCCTCCCACCTACAATCAGAGAAATACACAGTTCAACTACGACCTGAAACCAGTAAACTGCTATTTTACTGTACTTTTACAATTCTTACATAAGTAACTGTTGTCACTGTTGTCACAAAAGTAAATTAGGTTCATTAAAATAATTGTGATGAAACTCACCAGACAACTTTTGCATCAAAGATGACCTACAAAGAGAAAGTTAACACATTAAACTATTCACAGCTGCATTTCATACCATCCTTTCACTATGGCCTGGCAGTTTATACAGCACTGTAATCGTAGAGCACAAGTAAGCTACTGTATATTGGTATTTAAATGCATTTGATTGTATGGTCTTCATTTCCCCTCCTCTCTCCCTTGTCTCCCTCACCAGGATGAGAGCCAGCACAGAGAAGATGTAGTAGGTGGAGTCCCTGAACAGAGACCACCAAGTCAGAACCACCGTCTGCAGAGGGGGGAGAGAGAGAGAGAGACTACTAACAGACAACCAACACATAGCTGCCTCCTCAGGTTCACTCAGCCAGTGCATGTGTAGGAAAATATGTTTACATGTATTCATGAAGTCTTCAGCCATAGCCACACTGTTACGACCATAAAGGTGTGTAGTATCAGAGGTCTATACCTGGCCCGCAAAGATGCCACACACACCAATGATGACCAGGATGTTGAAGACTGCTGAGCCCACGATGGTGCCAACCCCCACGTCTCCTTTAGTGATAAACACACCTGCGAGAGATAGAGAGGCGGGGGAGGAGTTGTAGTGACAATTACATTTTAGAGGATGAAACCAATGGTTATGCCAATGTGTTCCTATACATTGATGTAGACTTAAAGACTATTCATATTGACTCTGCTGACATCTGATGGATATTTGTGGCATTACATGATAAGCAAACAATGTCATTGGGATGGATTGAAGATCAATCGCAAGATGGTGAAAGTTATGGGTAATTTGTATCAGCCAGTGTTGGGCATATGTATAGTGTTCATTGACACAATATATTGGCCACCGCTATCACTACTGTTAAGAGAAGGGAAATACAGAGTGATTAAGTACTGACCAATGAGAGAGGTGAAGAGCTCTGGGGCTGAGCTTCCTGCAGCCATGAAGGTTGCCCCTGCCACATCCTCACTGAGCTGCAGGTTCTGGGAGGGCCAGAGAAAAGAGGGAACCTTCTCACACAATCATAATACATGATCAAGAAGCACTATATCTTTGTAGAAATACATGATCCAGTAACAGAAATCCTGTTCAGCCTATCTTGCACAAAGTTTATATTTTAAGTTATTCAACTAATAATAGTAATATAATGATAAAAAGCAGCATATGGTGCCTCCTTCCTGTATTTAAAGTGAATTGGTGTTGTTGGTTTTCTCACCTCTGATATTTTCTCCAGAGAAGGGACAAAGTAGTCATCACAGACAATAGCAAGAGCGTAGAACATGTAGATAGCCTAAGAGGTAGAGTGAGAGATGACAATAGAGATACAGGCCATAAATGATGTGATAAGGAAGCATTTAAGTAATTCAGATGTAATTCAGGCAGGTGTACATTAATATGAGAGTGCAATTAGCAGATCATTTCTATTATGAAGTCTAATCGCATCTGAACAGATGATATTGCATGAAGGATGTGGCTGCAAAACTGCAGTATCATGGTATCATGGTTGTTTTTGTGAGGTGTGTTATAGGACACTCACACACAGCACATGTAACAGCACTGCCCCTCCTTTCAGCTCCTCCTTGGTAAATATATCTTCTGGAAACTCATGGATAGCTGAGGGAGAAAGATAACAGTAAAACAACACAGTTAGACACAGCTCATACGTCTGTCTACAGAGAGATAGAGAGAGAGAGAGATGGCGAGGGAGAGAGATGGAGAGAGAGAGCGAGAGATGAGAGAGAGAGCGAGAGAGAGAGAGAGAGAGAGAGATGGAGAGTGAAAGAGAGCGAGAGAGAGAGAGCAAGCGAGAGAGAGCGTGAGAGAGAGAGAGAGAGAGAGAGAGAGAGAGAGAGAGAGAGAGAGAGAGAGAGAGAGAGATGAGAGAGATGGAGAGAGAGAAAGAGCAAGCGAGAGAGAGAAAGAGCGAGAGAGAGAGAGAGAGATGGAGAGAGATGGAGAGAGAGAGATGGAGAAAGAGAGAGATATGTAGAGGGAGAGAGAGAGAGAGAGAGAAGAGAGAGAGAGAGAGAGAGAGAGAGAGAGAGAGAGAGAGAGAGAGAGAGATGAGATAGGAGAGAGGAGAGAGATGGAGAGAGAGAGCGCTCAACCAATGAAATGAGTGACATCAAACAAATGCTGAATCTACTATGCTCACATGTGATAGGCCAAGGGTCATGGTAAGATGAGCACAAGAACTCCACCATCCTCACACTACATCCACCCAAGTGGTATGACACAAATACTATCTTAAATGATACACAAATCACATTTGCATAATAAGAGTTTACCTTAATTGAAAAATCCTATTTTAATAGTTCTTGTTGGATTGTGAGTGTTTATCTCATTTTGAATGTAAAGAAAAAACAGTTATGAAGTCTTTTTACGTTGCATGTTGGAATTTACAAGGCTTGAAGTCCTCTGCTTTTGGGCTAAAGAGCAGAAACCCAGACTTCCTTAAAGAAATTGATGATGTTGATATTGTAGTACTACAGGAAACATGGTGCAGAGGTGATGTTTCCACTGGCTGTCCACTAGGTTATAGGGAGATAATCGTACCATCCACCAAATTAAAAGGAATCACACAGGGCAGAGACTCAGGGGGAATGCTAATATGGTATAAATCTGAACTAACTAATTCAATCGAATTGATCAAAACAGGATAATTTTTTATCTGGCTAAAAATCAACAAGGAGGCTATCTTAACAGATAACAACGTCTTCCTCTGTGCCACATACATTCCCCCCTCAGAGTCACCCTACTTCAATGAAGAGAGTTTCTCCATTCTAGAGGGGGAGATTAGTCACTTTCAGGCCCAAGGCAATGTGCTGGTCTGTGGAGACCTGAATGCTAGAACAGCAGAAGAACTAGACACTATTAACAGTCATGGGGACAAACACCTACCGGGAAGCAACAACCTTTCCCTCCCCACATACCCCCCTAGAAACAACTATGACAAAGTGAAAAACAAAAATGGAGTACAGCTCCTGAAGCTCTGTCGAACACTGGGTCTGTACATAGTCAATGGTAGGTTAAGAGGGGACTATTTTGGTAGGTACACCTACAGCTCATCCCTTGGCAGCAGTACTGTAGACTACTTCATCACAGACCTCAACCCAGAGTCTCTCAGAGCCTTCACAGTCAGCCCACTAACACCTCTCTCTGACCACAGTAAAATCACAGTGTATCTGAAAAGAGCAGAACCCAACCATGAAGCATCACGGCCCAATAAATTACATGGTACTAAACAGACCTATAGATGGAGTGCAAACAGTACAGAAATCTACCAAAAAGCAATTAGTAGCCAAAAAATACAATCTCTCCTGGACAACTTTTTAGCATTAACATTCTCCTACACCAATGAAGGTATACATTTGGCCGTTTGGAACATAACCTTTATATTTGACAAATTAGCCTCCTTGGCTAATCTTAAGAAACATAAGAGCAAACCAAAAATAATACATAATGAAAAATGGTTTGATAATGATTGCAAAAATCTAAGAAAGTAATTGAGAAATATATCTAATCATAAACACAGAGACCCAGACAACAAAAATATACGCCTTCAATATGGGGAAACACTGAAGCAATACAAACACACCCTAAGAACAAAAAAGGAACAGCACATTAGAAATCAGCTAGATGTGATTGAGGAATCCATAGAATCAAACCACTTCTGGGAGAATTTGAATAAATTAAACAAACCTCATAATGAGGAACTGGCTATCCAAAATGGGGATATGTGGAGAAATCACTTTGCAAACCTCTACAGCAATATAACAAAGAGCCCAGAACAACAAGATATACAAGAAAAATTACAAATCCTTGAATCAGCAGTCAAAGACTATCAGAATCCTGTGGATACCCCAATTACAGAACAATAATTATTGGAAAAACTTTGCACTCTCCAACCCAAAAAGGCCTGTGGTGCTGATGGTATTTTAAATGAAATGATCAAATATACAGACCACAAATTCAAATTGGCTATACTCAAACTCTTCAACATTATCCTAACTGCAGGTATTTTCCCCGATATTTGGAACCAAGGATTGATCACACCAATTTATAAAAATGGAGACAAATTTGACCCAAATAATTACAGAGGAATTTGCGTTAACAGCAACTTGGGGAAAATTCTCTGCAGTATCATAAACAGCAGACTACATAATTTCCTTGATGAACACAACGTCCTAAGCAGAAGCCAGATTGGATTTGTAAAAAATTATCGCACAACAGACCACATTTACACCCTCCAGACTCTAATTGACAAAGAAGTAAATCAAAACAAAGGCAAAATCTACTCGTGTTTTGTAGACTTCAAGAAAGCATTTGATTCAATTTGGCACGAAGGTCTTTTTTTACAAACGAATAGAAAGTGGTATTGGAGGGAAAACATATGATGTTATTAAATCAATGTACACTAAAAACAAATGTGCGATTAAAATCGGCAACAAGCAAACATACTTCTTCTCTCAGGGACGTGGAGTGAAACAGGGCTGCCCAATAAGTCCAACACTATTTAACATCTACATTAACGAATTGGCAAAAACATTAGAAGAATCGGCAGCACGTGGTCTCACCCTACACAACACTGAAATCAAGTGTCTGCTGTACGCAGATGACCTGGTGCTACTGTCTCCCACTAAGGAGGGGTTACAGCAGCATCTAGATCATCTGCACAGATTCTGTCAGACCTGGGCCCTGACCGTTAATAAAAAAAATATGAATATAATGATATTCCAAAAAAGGTCCGGAAATCAGGATGACAAATATAAATTCTATTTGGACACAGTTCTATTAGAACACACCAAAAATTACACATATCTAGGACTAAATATCAGCAACACAGGTAGCTTTCACATGGCTGTGAATGAGCTGAGAGACAAAGCAAGAAGAGCATTCTATGCCATTAAAAGGAATATTAAAATCGAAATTCCAATTAGAATCTGGCTCAAAATCTTCCAATCAGTTATAGAACCAATTGCTCTATATGGCAGCGAAGTATGGGGTCCGCTCTCTAATACTGAATTTACCAAATGGGACAAACATCCAATCGAAATACTGCATGCAGAGTTTTGCAAGACTGTATTGCAAGTGCAAAGAAAAACTCCAAATAACGCATGTAGAGCAGAATTGGGCCAATACCCCCTCCTTATTCGAATAGAAAAAAGAGCCATCAAATTTTACAACCATCTAAAAACAAGTGACCCCAAAACATTCCATCACACAGCTCTACTATGTCAAGAGATGAAACAAGAGAAGAGTCCCCTCAGCCAGCTGGTTCTGAGGCTCAGTTCACTAACCAAAACCAACCTCATAGAGCCTCAGGACAGCACTCAGAAAATCTGGCCCAACCAAATCATCACAAAGCAAAAAGAAAAATATATCACCTATTGGAAAGACACCACAAAAAATCAAAGTAAACTTCAATGCTATTTGGCTCTAAACAGACAGTACATGGTGGCAGACTATCTGACCACTGTGACTGATAGAAAACTGAGAGAAACACTGACTAGGTACAGACTCAGTGAGCACAGTCTGGCTATAGAGACTGGTCGTCACAGGCAAACCTGGCTGCCCAGAGAGGACAGGCTGTGCTCACTCTGCCCCCGGGGAGAGGTAGAGACAGAGCTGCATTTCCTATTACACTGTGACAAATACTCAGACCTAAGAGAATCTTTCTTTCCCAAATTTATCATTCAGTACAAAGAATTTGAAACTATAAAATTTTTATTGGGTGAAAAGCCAAAATGTGCAATTTTGGCAGCCAAATATGTGTCCTCCTGCCACAACCTGAGGGACAGCCAGTGAAAAGTGTAATGTAATGTCAATAATATTTACTGTTTGGTTTTGGCTTTCATAGCATGTAATGTGTCTTCTCAGTCATGTTGAGATTGGTCGACTACTATTGCTTTAATGTATTGTTAATCTCATTATTATTGTTGTTGTAGTTGCTGTTAATGGTAATCCCATTTCCACTACTACTATTATTATTGCTGTTGGTCCCACCATTTTTGTTGTATGTATACTTTGACAATGTAAGTAATTTTACTTGCCATGTCAATAAAGTCTATTGAATTGAACTGAATTGAATTGAGAGAAATGGAGAAAGAGAGAGAGAGAGAGATGAGGAGAGAGAGAGATGGAAAAAGATGGAGAGAGAGATGGAAAGAGATGGATAGAGAGATGGAGAAAGAGAGAGATGGAAACGAGCGTAGTGGCAGAGAAGAGAATTGAGCAGAGATGAGATGGAGATAGAGATGGGAAATGATGACGCTCTGGAGAGAGCGCTAGCTGACCGTGCGGAAGATACGATCCCCTTAGAGAGAGAGAGATGAGAGCGATAGAAGCTATTAGAGGAGAGATGGAGAGACAGCGATATATAGATAAAGTAGACAGAGAGAGCAGAGAGAGATAAGATATCGAGATATAGAGAGAATCGAGAGATAGAATGTGAGAGAGATAGTTGATAGCGAGATGATAGAGAGTATAAGGAGGAGGAGTAGATATATATGTTTTCCCTGCTGTCTTTTGGGTTTTCCCTTTTTCGTTTTTTGCCCCCCCGCTCCCTCCCCTCTCCCCTCTCTCCCTCCCGTTTCATATTTTTTTTTTCTTTTTTTTTTTTCTTTATTTTTTTCCCTGTTTTAAATTTCCTTTCCACTATATTTTTTATTTTTTGGGCATTTTTTTTTTTTTTAAATTTATTTACTTCCTTAATAATTAATTGAAAAATTGAATTGAGAGAAAAAAATTTTAAAACTTGATTGGCCCCTAAAAGGGAAAGCTTTGGGGAGCCGAAGAGGAAGAAGAATTGGGGAATGGAACTGGGGGGAAAGGATGATGGTTGGCCGGGGGAAACCCATCGTCTCGGCTTGGCGGCTCCTCCACTCATCGTTTTCCCACTTTTTCCCCCGGCCATTTAATGAATTTAAAACCCATATTGGAGATAGGGATTGAGCTGGCGGAACGCTGGGGAAGAGGAAAAGATGAGAGGAGATAGACAAAATTTGATAAAAAAAAAAGGGGGGGAAAAACCAATAGGGGAAAATGGAAATATAAGTAGAAGAGAGATTTTAAAAAAATTTAAGAAAAGAAATTTAAAGATGGTAATTAAGAGAAAGAAGAGATAAAGATAAGAAGAGATAGAAGAATGAAGAGAAAATGTTTAAATCTTCGATTTCCCGGGTTTCTTCTTCCATTTTCTTTTTTTTCCCGCTCTTTCCCCTTTCCCCCTCCTGCTCTTTCTTCCTTTCCTCTTCCCTCTCTTTTCCTCCCTTTTCCCTCTCGCCCTCTTTGCCCTCGCCCCTGCCCCGCTCGTTTTTATTTTCGCCGCTTTTTTTGGGGGGTTTTAGCGAGGGGCCCCCCTTGGGGCCCCCCCCTTAAAATTTAGCGGAGAGAGAAGAGAAGAGAAAAGAGGAGAGGTTTTGAGTTTTAATAATCTTTTTTTTGGGGCCCACCACCCAAATATCATACAAACCTATTTACACATCAATTAAAACACAACTCCAATTCCTCCTCCACAGTAACTGAACATAACAGCCTCTGAATACCCCATATACTCATAAACAGATCAATATTGTTGACAAGTTTATAATAGGCAAACTCAACCCTTAGTCTCGCTGCCAACATTCCCTCCAGCATTCCCACCACATCCACAGACCCCTGTTCCCGAATACTGTTCTTTCGGGTCTTCCATATCGCTAATTTTGCTGCCCCTAACACAAAATTAAGCAACACAACTACACCTTTCTGACTAAACCTGTACTTTGGCCCAAATATATACAGTTGGGAAGAGAAAACCTCTCCCAACGTTGAGAACCAATTAGTGATCAGGTCAATCATCCCGACCAACCTGGGACACTGTAAAAACAGATGTGCCAGAGTTTCAGACTCAGCACAGAAAGGACACCCCTCCCCAACAGTAGGATCCAGGTGTACCAGATACATATTGGTGGCTATGGCTCCATGTATTATCCTCCATTGGAGGTCAGCTGTCCTCTTATCAATAGGCAGTTTGTATAATGATCGCCAACAGCCTTTTGGGGAGGCACCTGGACCAAGCACACCCGCCCACCTCGTCGATTTTACCCCTTCCAGGGAAGAGGCATGGGACACCTTTACACATATTCTGTACATGGCCTTCTTTCCCACCTCCTTGAACTCCCCCCAGCTCTGGGGTATCGAAGGAAAGCAGCATCCCCCACGTCCTCCTCGAATGCCCCCCGCCGCAGCACTAACAATCAGTGCAGGGAACACATAATCCAGACCCTCCTTCCACCGATCAGAATTGGAAGTGTCAGTCACATACTGCAGATGAAGTACTGGCAAGGAGTCACAGACCTCAGCGACGACCTTCCTCAGTAGGCGAGACGATCGGATCCCCGCTCTTTCTCCCAGCTCCTCCAACAACCTATTCCTGTTCCGCATCAGATGACCCAGCTTAGTACACCCCACGCCTAACAGGCATGAACGTAGGCTAGCTGAACCTAGAACACGGGACTGGATGGCAGTGTTGTGAAAAAGAGGCTCTTCAAAAAGCCACATCCCAGGTGGCGTGCAGGCCTTACGGGACTTGACCAGAACTCTCCAAGCCTGCATAACAGACTCATAAAATGGAGTCAGGCCAGGCAACTCACCCCCCTCCAGCTTTAAGAGGAAAAGGTGCTTGTCTAAGCCCAAACAGCCCGCTCTCCTCATCAATGTGTAGGCTGTGTCAACCCAGCTAGAACCGTCACTGTACAACAGTCTCTGTGCTGCTTGAAGCCGGAAAGCCATGATCCTGGAAGAAATGTCCACCAGGCCTTGCCCACCCTTGTGCAGTGGCAAGTACAGGGCTGAAGCTTTAATCCAATTTTGTCCAGACCAGAAGAAGTTGACAAGGGTCCTCTGAAGCTCTTGTATCAGACCCTTTGGTGGCTGCAAAATCATTAGTCTCTGCCACAGGGTAGAGGCAGCAAGATTATTAGCTACCAGTACCCTTCCCCTATAAGACAGCTGGGGCAGCACCCATTTCCATCTTGACAGTCTGGCACACACTTTCTCCACTACACCCTCCCAGTTCTTTTTCTGAAAGACATCGGAGCCTAGAAAAAAACCCAAAGTCTTCATCCCATCTCTGCCCCACTGATGCCCCCCTGGTAACCGTGGAGCGGACGCCATCTGAAGCTGGCCTGCCCACAGCGCTTCACTCTTTCCCCAATTGACTCTAGCTGAGGAGGCCCCCTCATACACCTTTAAAGCGTTTGAGAGAAACTTAACATCCTCACCCCCTGTAATAAAAACTGTCACGTCATCTGCATACGCAGACAGTGCTATCGTGGGACCCTTCATAACCCCTGGCACAGAGAAACCAGTAAACCTCGATCTTAAAAAACAAAGCATTGGTTCAATCGCCAGACTATATAACTGCCCTGAAATTGGGCATCCCTGCCTGATGCCCCTTTGGACAGAGATGGGGCAACTCAAACCACCCCCCACCTTCACCATACACGAGGCCCCAGCATACAGTAAATTCATCCAAGACAAAAAAACATCCCCAAACCCAAAGGCTTTCATTGTTTTAAACAAGTACTGGTGGTCCACACGATCAAAAGCCTTCTCCTGATCCAAAGAAAGTAAACCTACATTTACATCAGACAGTTTACAAATGTCTAAAACATCTCTTATTAGAAACAAGTTGTCAACAATAGAGCGATCAGGTACACAGTAGGACTGGTCCTTGTGGACCAACAATCCCAGATACTCTTTCAAACCTGTTTGAGAGACATTTAGAAACAATTTTATATTCTGCACACAGCAAAGCAACAGGTCTCCAATTTTTTATGAGAGCCAAATCCCCCTTTTTTGGCAACAGTGAAAGTACCGCACGTTGACAAGATACAGGAAGAGAGCCCTCATGAAAAGATTCACACACCACTTCATAAAAATCCTCCCCAATAGACCCCCAAAAGTGCTTATAAAACTCAGATGGTAATCCATCAATGCCAGGGGCTCGGCCTGTTGAGAGCTGCATAACTGCTGTAGACAGCTCTTGCAGTGTAATGTCAGAGTCCAATGCGACTCTTTGCTCAGGTCCCAATTGAGGAAGACCGTGTAACAACTGTTCAGTACACAGAGAGTCACAATCCTCCGCCTTATAGAGGGCAGAATAGAAATCCACGGCATGTTGACGCATTTCACTGTCATCCGTGGTCACCTTGCCATCAGGGAGACGAAGGCAGACCATCTGTTTACGTTGCAATGTCGACTGTCCTAGTTTTTTTTTAAAGCACTAGGAGCATCCATATCCTTGAGGGAAGCGAAACAAGACCTAATCAAGGCACCCTTCACTCTTTCATGCAGAAACGACCTCAGTTCATGTTTCTTGTCCTGTAAGTTCATGACTAGTCCGGGGTCATTCTGAGTGAGCAACTTCAATTCAATAGATTTGATGTCCTGTTCAAGGGCCCTGATAGTCTCTTTAACTTCAATTCGAGACAGAGCAGTATACTGTTGACAAAATAATCGTATTTGGGCCTTCCCAACCTCCCACCATTGTCTCAAGGACTCAAAATTCCCTTTTGTAACCCTCCATTTTCCCCAAAACAACAAAAACCTTTCACAAAACATGACATCATGTAACAATTTAACATTAAAATACCAATAAGATGATGACCTTCGTGGACAGGACAAGTGAATATCAACAGTGACAATATGGTGATCAGAGAAACCCACAGGAGTAATGTCACACCTTCCAACACTACTACAGTATTGCTCAGATACATACAACCTGTCTAACCTTGCTGCACTGACATGACCTTCATTAACTTTCAGCCATGTGTACTGCCTAACTTTTGCATTCCTTACTCTCCACACATCAGAAAGCTCAAACTCAGTTAACAGACCAGACAGGCAAGTGGCTGACCGCAGGTGAGGTTCTTCAGCGGTGTGATCAACAGTAAAATCCACTGTACAGTTCCAGTCCCCCCCTAAAACCATACACCCCTCTTGGTCACACTGTCTTAAGGTTTCCTTTATTTGATCAAAACCAACAATACGCTCTGTACCCTCATTAGGAGCATAAACATACAAATAAAAAAAATAAAAAAACATAACATCCACCTTGACCAATAAAACCCGACCCTTGACAATCTCTGTTGTAGATACCACAGTCACCCCTAAGCCTGAAGAAAACAAGATTGCCACCCCCAGCACTGAAATTAGTACCATGACTGAGTATATGCTGCCCCTCCCACCACATACCCCAGTCAACCTAATTTTCCTCATCACTATGTTGTCTCCTGTAGGAAAACTACATTAAGCCTTTTCTGTTTTATTACTTCTAATACCCAAGCCCTCTTATTCCTGTCCCTTCCCCCATTAATATTGAGAGAACCTACCCTTAGTACCTCCATAAAGGAAAAGCAGAAGAAACCACAGAGAAACCAGACAAAGAGAATAGAACACCCTATGAGGCATAATCATCATCATTATTAAAATTTTCTCTTAACCTGACCACGTTTCCCACCACCTTTTGCTGCTGCAACAGCAGTAACAAATTTCCTCAAGCGAAACCGCTTCTTCTCACTCAACTGGTCTAACCCCACCGTCTTCTGTAACATCACAGCTGACCTCACAAACATATCAACATCAAAATAATCTGCCAATTTGACAGATTTCCCAAAGTCTGATCAAGAAACCCATTTACCTCCTCTAGATCGTAAATTGAGTCCTCACCAGCTGATATCGTATCAAGAGCGATATCCATATCCTTCTCCTGATCCTCCTCAACTGAGGCCACAGACCACTGACTCCCCTCTACCACGTCCCTTTCAACACTCCCCACTTGCAACCCCATCACTCGTACCAGGCATCTCCTCCACTACCTGGGAGACTAGCCCCACCTGAACCCCA